GTCTAGAGGAAGAAAATAAATCTGTATCTATGTCAGATACAAAAGAAACTCCATCTAATGAAGAAGAACATAAAAAAAATACTAGCACGAATAGTACTACTGTAACTGAAAACTTAGATGAATTGAATACTGTGTCATATAAAGTGTTAGTAAATGAAGATAATTCTATACCAAAGGAACAGTCTAAAATAAATGATAGTAGTAACAATCAAATACAAGATAAAATAGTTACTGAAGAAGAAAAAAATACAGAAATTGTTAATCAGAACATAAGTAATATAGAAGAAATAAACAGCAATGATGAAATTAAAGATAAAGCAAATGTTTCTGTAAATCCAAAAGAAAAACTTATAGATATATCTGCGAAAGAGGATAATTGTAGTAATGACGTAAATGCAACTGAAATACCAAATATTAACAATGATGAGAAAAAATGTAATCTAACTGCTGAAACGGTTTCTACATGTAAAGATTCAAATGCAATTCAGGATAAAAATTCTTCTAATGACAATCAAGATAATATGTCTTCATTTGATTCATCTCTTCCTACTTTAGAATTTAGTGATGATTCAATTAAGGATTCTGCTAATAATGCAAAACAAATCGAATTAGATTCAACTAAATGTTTAATAAACTTACAGTCTCCAAAACTTTCCACTTCTATCCCTGAGAAAATTGATTCTTCCACTGTTGCAGAATCCCATGACATACCAGAAGCAGATTTACCTGATAAAGAAGAGGAATCCAAAGTACAATCATCGTCAAATACACCAGTGATGTCAAAAGCAAAATCAGTTAGCGAACTTAATGTATCAAAATCAAAAAAGGAAAAAAAGAAGAATGATGTTCAAAATGCTGATGAAAGCGATAACATTTCAGATATAAGGATGTTGTTTCAAGATATCTCTGCTGATGAATGGAAACTAAAAAATAAAAATGTCAATATTGAAACTCGAAGTAATTCAATGCATTCGATATCTACAGCAAAATTAGAAACTGACAGTGAAACAGAATGTGATCTTCTTTTAGTTGATAAAAAAGCATGGTTAGCTGCAGAAAAATTAAAAGCATCTAAAGATAAAGAAAAATTTGATTATGATTCTGATGATACGATTATATTAAAAAGCAAACTTGATTATCTAAACGATAAATTGAATAATACGAATAAAATAGAAATTAAATCTAAGGATTCTGCACAAGACAATGATAATTCTGAAATAAAAGAGAATATGGAAAAATCTATTAACAGTTCTAAGTTGTCAACTAAGGAAACAAAAAATGAATTGGATGAAGTAGAAAAAAATCCAAATAAATTAAATGATAAAACAGATATTGATAAAAGTGAAACTGATGTATCATCACAAAGTGCATCAAAGAAAGAAAAATCACGAAAAAGTATATCTGTATGTAATGTTAGTAGAAGTGTACTAGTGAAATCATTAGATAAACAATTAGAAGAAGAAGAAGAGGTATCTCTGTCACAAAAAGTATTTGAAGATCAAGAAGCTAAAACTACAGTTGATGTTATAAATAAAGTAGAAGTAAATACATTAGAAACTAAACTTGAACGACAGTCATTAGATAAAAAGCAAAAGAAAAATCGTTCTTTAAATAGTTCTTTAAATAAAAGTGATAAATCAAAGCAAAAATCTAATAAACGTAATAGACTGAACATTTCTTCAAGCGAGGAAGAAGATGATAATCCTGTTAATTCAGAAAAAAATGAAAATAAACGTGATAAATTAACAAAAAGCAATGGAAAGAAAAGATATAATAAAAATTACTCTACAATGGTACATATTGGTTCAGATTCAGATACCTGCGATGAAAGTATTGATTCAAGTAACAGTGGTATAAGAAACAAAACTCCCAGAATTCCTCGTTTCTTATTTAAACATAAGGACGATGAAGAAGAAAATGAAGAACATAACGAAAGTGGTGACGAATCTAATGAAGATAAATTTTCAGACAGAAGTATAGATTCTGATATTAATGCAGAATATAATCTTGATGGTAAAACTATTGGGAAATTCTCAGATGACGATATACCGGGAGATGAATGTAGAGCATCGGAATCTGAATTTTCAGATCCTGATGATAATGGTTCAGATCTAGCAGACTTTGTCGTTGATGATGACGAAATTGAAGAAGGTGAAGAAGAAGATGAAGTGGAGGACGAAGAAGAGGATGAAGATGAAGATGAAGAGCAGGAGGAGGAAAAGGAAAATCAAGAAATAGAAAATGAAGAAGATAAGAAACTAATCGAAAATAAAAATGAAAAAGAAATAGAGGGTACAGAGGATACAGTAAAGTCATGTGAAGAAAAGATTAAGGTTATAGACAGTGAGGAAATAAATAAAGAATCACAAAATAAATCTATAAATGTGTTTGATGTAAAAAGTGACAAGAAAAAGAATCCAAAACAAAAAGTAAATACAGAGATAAATTTTTCAGAATCAGATGAAGATGAAATTGTATCTGAAAGCAAGGTTGACGCCATATCAGAGTTAGATTCTAATACTTCAGGGAAGAAATTAAAAAAGAAACCAAAATTAAATGAGAATAATGAGACTATAGATGAAACTTCAAAGCAGTTAAATGAATCTGAGATGATATTCACAAAAAAAGTTAAAGGAACAAATATTTCATTGACATGTAGCACTCCTAAAACTGATATCTTACAACAGCAGCAATTTAATAAACAGAATATTTCTTCTAATGAAGAACAAGAAAATGTACGTTTAAAGGATTTATCATCAGATAATTATGATACAAGTAAGTCGACTATAACTAATTCAAAAAAGAAACGTTCTATAGAAAATAACATTTCTACTGATTTATTAGAATTACTTAAAGATGCAAATCTTCCTAAGACTTTATTATCTAAGAAGGCCTATTTAAATAAAACAATATCGCCATGCAGCGAAACGCCTACAACAAAATATTTAAAGAAACAGAAATTAAATGATAGCGCGCCAAATATTAAATTTGAAAAAAATAAAAATGCCTCAGAAAAAATTGATTTCATAGATGATGATAAAGATAATGAACAAAGTGAAAATAAAACTATTCCTGGAGAAACTACTGAACTGTTAGAATTAAATTCGCCTACATCAATTAAGAGAAAAAGATCTGCAGAAATTAGTGATTCAAACGATAAGACAGAATTGAGAAATAAGAAAAATAAAATGAGTTCCAAATTGGATATACATACTGGATTTGATAATGAAAAAGAAAATTCGGAAAATGTATTTAAAGTTAATGATGAAAAAAAGAGGAGGAAGAAGAAAAACAAAAAGAATAAAATTTCTAAGGAATTGGATAAAATAAATGTAGCAACTACAATAGAAAAGAAAAATATAGAGAAAGCTGTAAAAATGGAAGTCATAACTAGTAATGAAAGTAAGAAAAATAAGAAAAGGAATAAAAATAAGGGAGAAAACGTAGAAAATAAAGATAAAAATAATGAGAAGTTTATGAATATAATGAAAAGTGATAAAAAATCTGTGGAAATAGAAAACATTCCAAATAAAAAGAAGAAGATTACGTCAGTACTTCCGACATTGCAAGTAAAGGAGCAATTAAAAAAATCACAACGGAAAAAGATTTTGAAAAGTTCAACGATGTCGTCTGATGCGAAGATATCGAATGAGACGTTTCAAAAAAATATCGAATTCTTTAAATCAAAATATGAAGCTTCGGAAGCTGCTAAACGTGCTGGTGAAAGTATAAAGGCTAACAGAGATATGGAAAAAAAGCAAAGAAAGCAATTGGAAAAAATACAAGAGAAAGATATTAAAGTAAAAAAATCAGATCAAATAATGATAAAAGCTTATGCACGAGGAATTAAAAGACTTTCTCCTGATGTTATAGAAAATCTTTCTGATGTACCAATGAATCCTTTTAAAAAGACAAAATTATTTAAAAATCCTATGCAACAAACGATAAGATCGCTGCCTACGCCCATGACGAAAAATGGATTTACAGAATGTCGTATTACAAAAACAAAGAAAAATTATAATCCCTCAAATTCTGGTGGTACGACAGAATTTAATGTTGTTAATTTGGAAAAAGAAAAGAAACAATTAAAAAAGACTTCTACTATAGTTTCTTTTAGAAACAAGATGTTAAGTAGGAATTCACGATATCCAGTTACTTCCTATATAATGTACCTTCAAAAGCAAAAAGTATCTAACAAAGATCAGTGTTTTGCCAAACAATTTTAAAATTAATATTTTAATTAATGATTTAAAATATAATAATTTCCATTTTGCAACTTTTTACGTTTTCTAATAACGGTTATTGCTTGTAATGTGGATAGTAATAATAATATGATATAAATCTTGTTATATATGCTAAACGTGTGTTCCAGCGTATTTTATTAAATGATAATAATATGTTATAGAAATCAACATTGTTACATGTCTCTGGATCAATTTATTCGTTTTGTCGCAGTTTCGCTGTGCGAAAAATATCCTGAAATATAATGCCGAATGAATTATCAGTTTGTTTCTTCTTTTATTTTGTTTATTCCCAAATATGGCGTATATATTTAAAATAGTGTATTATATCATAATAATTACAGTATTAAATGTAACTAAAAATAAAAAAAAGAAAACATTTGTTTTATTATTGTTCTTTTATCGTAATAAACAAATAATTATTAAAAATAAATAATTGTATATATTTTTAAAATTTGTCATTTATCCTGTTCAATTAGTAGCCTGTTTTCATAGTTTTTTAATAATATAGAAACTAGAAAATTAACGAAAGTAATTGGTGGCTATATTACGATCTTTGCATATTTTCTGTATTCTGATTGGTGAACTTTTCGATATCTACGTCTTACGAAGAAATTATTGGTTGAATAAGTTTAAGCGCCATAATCGTGAGAAATGAATAAAGCAATGCTGAAAGAATGAAAGCTAAAATGATAGAGGGAGCTATATGATCTTTCTACCAATCAAAATGAATGATCATTGTTGTGGGATATTTTGAAATGAAATAATAACCGTTTGCCGCTACAGTTAGAACACGATTTACGAAGGAAGAAGGAATATTAACGACGCTTTTTCTCTTCAAACTTGTCTAAACTTAGTAAATTGTACACAATACGTTATTAGTTTGGTTCTGTGAAGAGAGATATGAAGTAAAAGTAAATATTTTATTTAATAAAAATAATTATTTAGTTGTTGCTTAAATATTTTGAATTTCTGAAACTAAAAGTTTATATTATAAAAGTATGTTGACACCTTGCTTTTTCATTTGTGCGTTTTTCTATTATTTGAAACGTACTTAGATTTATTAATTTATTAAATTAATTCTATACGTTCACTTATATTCTTTATGTCAAGAGGAATTAAAGTGCCAAATAACAAAAAATAATATATATATTATTAACATAACATTTTATTTTTATAGATGAGTAATACATTAGATTCTATACGACCGTCAGATAAAAATCACACTCGTGAAGAAATGTCATATTTGTTTGGTAGAGATCCTAGTATTTTATCTTATGGACAGAGACCTTGTCCATCTCAAGAAACAAAGAAAAATTTACTTTCTGCATACGAAATTGAATTTGACTCAGCAGAGAACATAGCATCCTTGCTTTCTGATACACAGTCCTTAAAAACAATTAAAGTATACTTACGTTTAAAGCCATTTCCAAGAAAAATCAAGTTATTACCAGAACAAGAAGAAGCTTATAAAGTTATCAATTCCACTACTTTGGCTACAAAGTTGCCATGTCTAGAGAATAACAATAGTTTTGCAAGATCTAAAAATAGTGAGATCACATCTAGAACATATACCTTCACTCAAACATTTGGACCAGAGATAACGCAATTAGAATTATTTGATCAAGCAATAAAGCAACAGATGTTTGATTTTTTAGCTGGACAAAGTTGTAATGTGATGACCTATGGTATGGACTATATATTAAAATTTATTATTTAGATTTTTTGCATATATTTTATATGGTAATATTTCTACAGGTACTACGAACTCTGGAAAGTCATATACGTTGCAAGGAACTATCACATCACCTGGTATCATACCACGCGCTTTAGAATTTGTTTTTTCTATTATCACTCCAAAACCTATACCTTCATATAAGCCTGTACATCATTGCGATGCAATTTTTCTTAATTCTCTTGAACGAGCTCAAGAGTTAGAAGCTAAAACTAAATTATTAAGTTTTAGTTCAGTAGATAGAACTCAATATATAAATACTTACAAGCAAATGCAAACGATATTACAAGAAGAATCACCATTAAGACCTAGCGAATGCAGCGATGCTCATTATTCAGTGTGGGTATCCTTTGCAGAAATATATAATGAAACTATATATGATCTTTTGAGTATTGATTGTCAAAAAAAAAAAGTGCCTCTAAAACTAGCAACCGATAATCGAGGAAGAGCTTTTATCAAAGGTTTGAATACTGTTTATGTTAATTCTGGGGCAGAGGCATATCAAGTTTTAATGGCTGGCCAATATAATTTAAAAGTAGCAGCAACAGCTTTAAATGCAAGAAGTTCAAGATCTCATTGCATATTTACTATTAAACTATTGAAGTATTATTCTGAGAATCTAACAGATTCGGTGGATATAAGCACGTATGTATTTTTATATCTTATTTAATTTTTTAATACAAAGAATTCATTATGATTTCTTTGAACAGATTTTCCTTTTGTGATTTGGCTGGTTCCGAACGTTTAAAGAAAACATTGAATATTGGCGATAGATTAAAGGAAGCACAAAATATTAACACAAGTTTATTAGTCCTAGGGAAGTGTTTAAAGTCAATTTACGAAGGTCAATTATCAAAACTAAAATCTGAACCTATCGTTGGACCTTTCAGGGAATCAAAATTAACAAGATTATTTCAAAGGGCATTATCTGGCAGAGAACAAATTGCTTTAATTGTTAATGTTAATCCTTTACCAAATCTTTATATAGAAACACAAAATGTATTGAATTTTGCAGCAATTGCAAAAAAGATAATCATAGAATCAAAAGTAAAAGAACAGAGAAAGGCAAATTCGAGGTTTTCAAAAATAGTTCAAAAAAGTATACAAAGTGTGACAAATTGGGATGATACAGTTTTGGAAAGTGCAGGTGACAAAATAATACATATTAATAGCTAAAGAATTTTCATTTTTAATACATATTGAATATTTTATAGATTCGCTAAATACAGATACGGAGACAGATATATTGAAGTTTTCTTCTGAAGAAGAATATGAACATTTATTAATAGAAAATAAAGTATTAAGAAAAGAGATTACGGATCTGAAAAATATGGCTTTGACTCGTGACTTCGAAATTCGTCAAGAAATGGTAGATACTTATACTACCATCATTAAGAAGCTTGAGAATGATTGGAAGTATGTATTTATGAATTGATAATATATCTTTTTTATATCAATATTGTGTATATTACTATATGTATTACTATGATTATAATGTATAGGGCTCGTATAAGAGATGTTGAAGAACAACAAGAAGATACTTTGCAATGGTCTATCAAACAAGTAGAAGAATACTATAAACAAAAAATGGCACAGTTAAGTAGTAGAAAAAGGCACCGGTCTTGTTTATCCAACGAAGATGATGTTGCTGATCAAACTAATGCATTTGAATCTGAAATTTCTCACTTAACTTCTAAAGTAGTGTCTATGAAAGATACTATTCAAGAATTAAAAAAAAGTAATCAAGTTTTGAGTATAGAAAAAAATAAAGTTGAATTTGAATTGAGCTTGACAAAGGATGATTTAAAGCATGCGAAATGTTTATTGGATGCTGCTCAGAAAGATCTTTCTAATGGCGAGGAAACGGAATATTATATAGAAGAGATTAAGTCACAATTATCTTCCAAGGAAGAACATATCAAGGTATTTAATTTGTATAAAATGTTATAGAAATAAATTTGTTATTTACAATATGTTTTAGAAACTTAAAGAATTTTTGAATGAAGCAAAAGAAGAATATATTACTATCACAAATGATGCACGAAAAAAAGAAATTCAAATAAAAGAACAAGAGGAATTAATGGTAGAATATGAAGACAAGATAGACGAATTGCAAGAACAATTCGATCGAGCTAATTATTGTCTTGCAGAGCAAACTAAAACTATAGAAATATTAGAGGATAATAATCAGTCAATGGCGGATAAAATATTTGAATTGGAAAATAAATTGAAATTAATGAATGAAAAGTATGAGGTTACTTCTTGCAAGCAGGAAGTATGTATAACTATAATAATATAAGTATATAAGAAACTTTCTTTTTTCTTTTAAAAATATGTGTTATTATTTTAATATTTTCTGTTTTTTTTTTTTTTGTTTTTTTTTTTTTATGAAGATATCAGAAAAATCAGAAAATTATGTAACAAGTGATTCTTGTGAGGATGTAATTATAAAAACAGAATTAATTTCGGAAGATGAAATGCAATCAGAAGGAAAATTAAATAATTTGGATACAAAAAAAGAGATTTCTGAAGAAAAAATAATCCTTGGTATGTGATTATCTAATTAATATAGCTAATTTTTTTTCTTTTCTTTTTTTTCTTTTTTTTTTTCTTTTTTTCTTTTTTTTTTTTTTTTTTTTTTTTTTTTTAAGGATAAATTACGATTAACTTTGTAGAATCAGAGGAAAAAATAATACAAACACGATCAACATCGAAAGAAGATAAAAGCTGTCAAACTATTACATTAGTTACACAAGAAGTAATCATGCAAACTAGTATTTTAGAAAATTTTTCAAAAGAGATATCTGTTCAAACGAATGATGATATAAATTACGAAGAAAGGGAGAAAAAATATAAAGAACTAAAGGCTAAATGTAACGAAGTAGAAGCAGAGTACAAAGAGGCACATGTAGTATGTGATTTATATAATATGCAAATACTAAATAATAAATATCATATGCACACAAATGATATTTTTTTAATATCATTCAAAGTGATTTATTATTATTATTTTGTTTTTCTTTTTCAAGAAATTAGATGATGATCTTAAAATTATAAAGGAACTACAAGAAAAGATTACTGAACTGGATATAAATTTAGATACAAAACAAAAAGAAAAACATGATCTAGAAATGTTGATGGAAGAAAATAAAAAACAACAGCAAGCGTTGCAGGAGAAGTTAGAAGAATTTAATCAAAAAGAAAAGGATAAGGACAATGAGATTACAGCTATTCAAAAAGGTTTGTTCTTCTGTTGATATTAAAATGTAATATATTATATTATTTTTATTATATAATTATTAACACATTAACAGAACTGAAACAAATGATACAAGCGAAGGATGCTGAAGAAAAATCAGCTCTTTCTATGGAAAAAGAACTTAAGGAGACACTGCGAGCTTTGGCCGATACCAAGAAAATTCTATCTTGTAAGGAACAACAAGTGAACAATTTAGAAACACGTTTGATAACTTTAGAACAAACTACGAAGTTTTTGGAACTTATTCAAAAAGATAAAGAGGAACAGCAAGAAGAAAGGGAAAAATTAAGAAATATCAATGACATATTAAAAGAAGATCTTGCCACTAAAGAACGTGAGATGGAAGAATTTAAAAAGAACAGAAATGAAACCTTAAGTAAATATGATAATTTGATAAAGTCTTTGCAAGAGGATGTAGACAGACAAAAACGTGAGGTTCGTATTTCTTTTTGTATTTAAAGAAATATTAGTATTTTTAGAAAATCCTATAAAGAATGACATATTTTACAGGTCATGAGATACCAAGAATTATTTTGTAGGCAAACTACGCCAACCCCAAGTAAGGAAGAATGTAAAAAATTGCGAAGTCAAGTTGAATACTTACAAGAAAGGGTATGTGTAAATATATGTGTGTATTTTACGATAAAGAAACGACAATTGTTATTACGTTTAATTTCCTTTTGTCTTTTTTTTTCTTTTCTTTTTTTTTTTTTCAAGTTAAAAAATTACGAGACATCACAGAAGTCGAAAGGAAATGAAAATAACGTTGAAAATGAAGTGGTATCTATTGAACGTTCTATAAAGAGAAAAGGTAGAAAGAAGGAAGCTCAATTGTTAGTCCAACCTGAAATCATTGATCTATCAGGTTCAGAATCTAAGTGAGTATATTGAATATTTAATAACTCTGGAACATAATACGTTGTTACATTACACGTTGTTTATCATTTTTTAATAGACGCGATTTAAAGCTTGAACCTCCAGGTAGTGAGCAAACAGAGAGAAAAAGAACAACTCGCAAAAAGAAATTATTCATAGCGAATGACGAATCTTTACAAGATATTGATCCTATTGAAATTGTAAGTAAAATCTTTACGTTTAGTTGTGCATTTATTGGTTTTTTTTTTTTTTTTTATTGTTATCGTTACAATATTTAGCAAATATTTATTTATTTTTTCTTTTTTTTTTTTTTTTTTTTTTTTTTTTGTTGTTTTGTCTTAGGAATCTACTCCATCAATACCACTTCGTAGTTTAAGAAGTAGAAGAAAGTAAGTTTTTGGTACTGTATATAGTTAACCAATTATGAAATAGAATACTTTTTCGATAACCTTTGAAGAGTAAACATAATTAAATATCATTATTCGAAGATCCCTGTCACTGTGATAAATATTTCTCATAATTAAAATAAGAGGATATACACAATTTGTTAATAGTGTATATAGATACCAAACTATTCATAAATATTAAAGAATGTATTAAGACTATTTTATTATTGTATATACGTTATACTACAGGACTACATACAGAGTGAGTATTTTTTTAAATTTAGACACTTAAATATCTCGAAAACAATGTATTTTTAAAAAGAAAGTTTGAAAGTTGTTTCATTGTGGGGAAGGGGGCGGCCAAACGTGACAGAATTATTTCTTTCAGATTCGATGATCGTTTTCGAGATCATTTCAAGATTAATTTTATTTTATTTTATTTTATTTTATTTTATTTTATTTTTTTATATGGAAATCAATAATTTTTATAATGGCATCTTATTTGCAGTAATAACAATTGATGTACTTTTAATTCCTCTGTGTATATTCAATATTTTATGAAGAGACCTCATACAAGATAATGAACGTTTGTAAATAATAAAATTTGATTTCGATTAACAGGATCGTTTTTAAGATAAGTCTTGGATTGTTTTTTCTTTTAATGCTAATAAAAACATATATTTTAGCAGTGACAATTTAATGAAAAATTAAGACTCCATCTTTTATAAATCTATTCTTTTGTAGCTTTCTTTTGTACTTTTCTTTTTTTTTTTTATTCTTATAATTACACATTTTATTTTTTATATTTATTTATTTTTAATAACTAGAAAAGATTATATTTTTATATGATTTATGGTTGATAAAAATGATACTTAAACACACAAAATGGGTTTATAATATTTTAAATAAAAACATATTTTATATAAACATTCTGTGTTATTTATAACAGGAATGTTAGAGCAAGGATAAGAGATTAGTCAAGATATTTTATTTCTTTTTATTTTTTATATTTTACACGACTTCTCTTGTTACATTCCCGCAGTTATATTAATAATGTTTTCATAGTTCTGTTATTTTATGTTTGCGCCATTATATTTTCATTAATATTCATTATATATTATCATACTTTCAATGGAGTCAACAACATATATATATTTATTTATATGTATATATGTATATATTTATATAGCTATCGGGTGTTGTATGCTCGTGTTTTATGAGTGAATGCACTGTACCGTAAGATAACTTTATTATACAATTCACATTCATTTTATTTTATTTTATTTTACTTTTTATCTTTATTTAATCATTCATTTGTTTTTTTTTGTTCTTTTTTAGTTTTTATTTTAATTTTTTTTTATCTGGGGGCTGCCGAAGTACACCTCTCTCACTTTTTTTTTTGGCCATTACAAGATTTTGTTTCTTTCTCTTATTTGTCTTTCCATTCCTTCATACAGAGATTAAGGGTTCAAAGGACCATCTTACATTTTTAAGAACAGTTACTATCGGTGATCTCAAGAATTTTATCTTTACGAACACCCGTTGGAAAAAAAGAGAAAAAAAAATGATATTAGTGTAATTAGTCGAAGAAAATGATAAAATAGGGATACAATCGATGATTTGAAGAAAAAAAGAAGAAAAAAAATATATGTAAATGTCTCTCACACATTACACGTACATGCTAGATTATATCATAAAACTATTCTCGATCAGACTTAGGCCAAAGTTAATTAGCGATTTCTTAAATTTACACACGCTTGCTCGTTAATTAATGCTCATTAAATTATAATTTACAAACAATACGATTTTTAAAATCACGATTTAAACGTTGGGTTCAGGATTAACGATTCCTTGCGAGAACTTTCCTTTCTTACGTAAATTTTCTTTTATCATTAGCTAAAAACAAATTTTTCTTTTTTTCCTTTCTAAACAATCAATGATGATTATTATTCAAAAGATAAAAAAAAAAATAAATAAAACGAATGAATAAATAATGGAAGAACTCGATGATCTGTACTCAACATATAAAACGGCATACGCTGACAAATATACGAATGATTCCAACGATTAATAATCAAACATATAATATACTGTGTCTGATTTTTTGTTCATTCTATTTTACTTTACATACGATCTTTTATAATAAATTTTTTCCATATTTTAATTATGGAAGAAAATCGATAGAAGAATGATAACGAGACAAAACGTTTTTACATACGTATTTCACATAAATGCTGCTCTATCTCTCTCTCTCTCTCTCTCTCTCTCTCTCTCTCTCTCTCTTTCTAAATGCATATCTGCGTCCAATCGAAATTAAAATTCATCTATTTTCTCTAAACTCGGTAAAGAAGACAAAAGAAGAAAAATAATTTTTGTGTAGGCCTTTGCAGAAACAGCAAAAACACGAAGTGGACGGCACACAGTGAGATATATTGTCAACGATTTGTCTCGTATCTCTTATCAATTAGATTTTCTTCAATCGCGATCTTTGAAATAAGTCCTTTTGGAAAAGTGTTGAAACGCGAAATTAAACGAAATACGATTGAAATGGTACGATTATTATAATTAATTATCGTCATCGTCGTTATCGTTGCCCGACTTTCGTTATCCGTGGTTTATGATGCGCTCGATTCATTAAATTTCAAAAATTTCTCGCCAATGGATACAAATAATGTAAGGACGTTTTTTTTTCGAGCGTTGCAATGAGAACGTCGTTGTCAATAAATTATGATAATGATTTCGTCATTGTCGTTGTCATCGTCATCGTCGTCATTGATTTGTTCGAGAGGAAAAAAATGGTGTCCTTCGGCACACACACGGCAGTATATATATACACACACATACATGACATATATATATATATATATATATGTATATATATGTATATATGTATATAATATATATAATTTTTTCATGAAAAAGTTTCTTAGATCCTTCGAACCCGATGAAGATCGATCGATTCGACGATCCATCTATCTTTTTTCTTTCATTTTCATTTTCTTCTTTTTTTTTTCTTGATTTTTTTTCTATTTCTCAGGGGATAAAGGCAAATGAAAAAAAAAAGGAAAAGAACTTCGCACAATACAATGTATTTGAATATAATGATTTCTCTTATTTCGATAACAGTTTTCCATTCATATGCGTGTCGACGAAACGATGCCGATCAAATTATTATCCATTAAATCTTAATCGATGTTATAAATCGACAGAACGTTTTTTTTTTTGTTATTTATCGTTTTTTTTTCTTTTTTTTTTCCTTTTCTTTTTTTTTTTTTTTCATTGCCGAACCCTTATATCGATATTATTTTTAATGTTCAATATTTAAATTACATTTTCATCTTGACGCATCATCATCCTAAGAATTGACATAATTCTGGTGTTTAATTATTGTATTCATACGTTCATCCATCTCATCGTCTGACAGTATATAGATTATATTAAGTATCGGATTATAATAAGGAAGCTTGATCGAAAAAGATATTATAAATAATTCAATTAATTTTCGAGGTATGGTAGATATAAATGGTTAGTCGAACGCGAGATTGTCTTTGATAATTTAACGTCTTTTCACTTTTTTTTCTTTTCTTTGTTTTTTTTTTTTTTGTTTTTTTTTGTTTAATTTATTTTTATCTCGGTTATATATTTTTTCTTTAACGAAATATTTTCCTGAAGAGAGAACGTCAATCTGTAAAAAGAAAGAGAAAAAAAACGCTTCGTCGGTTCGTCGTCTTCATCGTGCTCGAGGATCGCAATGGGTTTTAATGTGTTGTCTTTTTAGAGAGAAAATATGATTAATTGGAAATAAGGGAGAAAAATTCTCTTTCTTTTTCTCTCATACACGCGCGCGCACGAGTGCACGCAAAACATACACACAACGGAAACATACGTATACAGTTTTATCCTTACAATCTGTAGATAGTCACATTCAGTCTCTCTCTCTCTCTCTTTCTCTCTCTCTCATTCTCTCTTTTCTTCAAGATTACAATCACAGAATATAATCAATGTTTCAAGTCGACGACGCTTATTGACATATTTGACGACGATCGAGATACGATCATCAATAAGTCTCGCGTTGACTTTTTTTTTTATTTCCAACCATCACAATGTTTATCGATTCGATTAAAAACGAATAACAGATCGAGAAAATCAATCGGATAGAAAATGATCGATATCTCGTCGCCGCACGATCGTTTTTATTCTTTCCTTACCACCTCAACGTTTATTTAATAATTATCAAACGCGATAACACGCACGCATTATATTTATATAAAAGAATAGTAATAATAATAGTAATAATAATAATAATAATAATAATAATAATAATAATAATTATATAATAATAATAATAATAATAATAATAATTATTATTATTATTATTATTATAAAAAGAAAACCAGGAAAACAAGAAATACAAAAAAAATATTATATTATATATTATAGCGATAATAAGGATTCTCTCTTTAACCGGTTACTGAGAAAATCTTCTCGTCATCGTTGAGTATCTCGTCGATCTGCTTCTCCCAGTCTTCCTTATCCCCGATAACGTCGTTTATTAATGCGATGTTCCTTTCCTGGCCACTCGAAACAAACTCGTAATCCTTCAGCTCGGCTTCCAATTCGCGTTCCCAATCTTCTTCTGCGGAGAGAGTCACAAGGAGCGTTGGTAGCTATTTAGCCATAGGGCCATGTTGTTGGACTGTGTTCTTTCGTGTTTTCTATGTATCGTATATTGTATATGTGTCTCTCATTTGTATACGTGTCGTATAGTATATTACGTACGCGTGAGATTATTTCAACGCGTACGTAAGTACATATGTTTTTGTCTGATGTGAGTGAGTGAGTGAGTGAGTGAGTGTATGTGTGTGTGTGTGTGTGTGGGTCCTATGTGTCTGTGTTTAAAAGGGATAGAAACGACATTGGTATGTGTCACTGTAATAGGTTGGTACGTGTAATGCGGGTTAAGAGCAGATAAAAAAAAAAAAAAAAAAAAAAATAAAAATAAACAAATCACGAGGATGGAAAACCGAGAAAACCGAAAAAAAAAAATGGGATCATGACCGCGAGTACGAGAATTTTGAACCGGCGATGATATTAAATGTGTTGTTAATATACTCTCTTTTTTGCATATTTATTTATTTATTTTGCTTTTCCTCGTTTTCCCTTTTCTTTCCTTTTCCTTTCTCTTTTCCTATTTCCTCTTTTCAACTCTTATTCGCGAATATTCGAAATATTATTTTATATCAATGCATGAATGATCGAACAATCGGATAGATCGATTGATCGATTGATAGACAGATCCTACGATCCTTTTTTTTTGTGAAAAGTAAAATTCATTTAAAGACCAAACGAGTACGAGCTGGCGCAAATCGCTAATCATAAGTCTCTATAATTCGAGAAATCATATATATTATATATATATATATATTTTTATTTTTATACAATATACATATAACACGGGTCCTTTCTAAATCACGTAAGCGTATCGATAATTGAAGGAATGATAATATGAAACTCAGTCGATGATAAGAATACTGTATTCCGTTCTTCCTCTAGTTTTTTCTTTCATTTAAAGAACTATTACCTCTCTGTCTCTCTCTTTTCTTTCTTTCTTTTTATCTTTTTTTATTTTCTCTTTCTTTTTTTTTAACATTGAAAAACTGGCCGAGTCGAACGCTCGCTGCCATTTTTCGATTTCACCGTAATTAGAATATTAACACGATATATGATGATATATAATAATAATAATAATAATAATAATAATAATAATAATAATAATAACAATAATAATAATAATATAAATGCAATTTATAATAACGATGATAACAATAACAATATAATAATAATCATATTAATTGCGTTAGAAATTGCAAAAACGAGATCGTACTTTTATCTTCCCTTCCGGATCTGTTATCTTTTCTTTTTTTCTTCCTTTTTTTCTTTTCACTTCACATGAAAACATGATCGGTCTACGTACGAGATGTAAATGAATATCATACGGACATTTATTTTCTTTTTATTTTTTCTCTTATTTTTCTTTTTTTTAATTTTTTTCTTTTTTTTTTTTTTTCGTTGAACACCGTTCAAACGTGCGTCCACGTAGAAAAACTCGAAGACATCGTGCTACTTAATTATTTCTAAATTATTTTTATTATTTTCTTTGTTATTATTTTTATTATTTTCACTCGTTCATGTTAGACAGGATGAGAAAAGAAAAGTAAAGAAGAGAAGAGAGAAAAAAAAGAAAGGAAAAGAAAAAAAAAAGAAAGATCGAAAGAAAAATTCATTTGATTTAACTGCGGCCGCAAGAAACGAGACGAAGTTTTTTTTTTATTTCTTCGTATTTCTATCTCTTTCTTTCGTATATTTTTTTTCTCTTTTTCCTCTCTCTATTTAATTTTCTCTATCTTTATCTCACTCCCTCTTTCTCTCTCTCTCTCTCTCTCTTTTTCTCATTTTTTCGTTATTTATGCCTTTTAACTTACACCCCCAAACCACCCCCGTAAAACGCGTATTGTCATTCAATGAATTATTATTGTTTATTTAGTTTTCACCGACTCCTCTCTCTCTCTCTCTCTCTCTGTCTCTCTCTCTCTCTCTCTCTTTCTTTTTATCTTTCTGTCTCTCTTTTTTTTTTTAAGTCATTACTCGTTAATTAATCTCTTATTAGGAAGGTACCTATGCTTAGAGGCGCGCCGACAAATCTTTAGGTCGCGACATTAATTTCGTTTATTCTTTGTTATCGCTATTATTTTTCTCTATCTCATTCTCTGTCTCTTTCTCTCTCTCTCTCTCTCCCTCTCCTTCTTTTCTCTTTTTCTCTTTTTTATTTCTTTCTCTTACGTTTGTTCTTCCCATTAATTAATTCGACCCTTAAAGAAGATTCATGCGTAAATCGTTCGCACTTTTTCTCTGTCCTTTCGAGTTAGTATCATTTCTTTATTATATGGTTTCTCTTACTTCTTTTTTTTTCTTTTTCCTTTTTTTTTTTTTTTTTTTTTTTTTTTTTAATTATTATTATTATTATAAGTATTATTATTCTTATTATTATTATTATTCTTATTATTATTATTATTATTATTATTTTCCTTTAATTTATACCTTAATTATTTATTAGTGCTTATTATTTTTTTTCTTTTTCTTTCTTTCTTTTTATTTTTTTTTTGCATTTTTCTTTTTTTTCCTTTTTTTTTGTTGTTTTAAATGACGTTTTACAACACGGAGAGAATCGAGAAGAGACAAGATTAATTAGATTTTTTTTTTTTTTTTTTGACAGACAGACGATAGACAAACGGACAGACATACAAGACATTTAGTCGAATATCTTGGCTTGCTTTTTGTTTGTTTGTTTGGTATTTTTTTTTCTTTCTTTAATTATTCGATTATATTATATTACGTTCTCTCCCACTCTCTCATTCTATTTCTCTCTCTCTCTCTCTCTCTCTCTCTCTCTCTCTCTCTCATTTTCTCTCGTTCTCTCTTTTTCTCTTCGACCATACGGAAATGTCTCTGAGGTCTTTCTCTCTTTCTCTCCCTTTCTCTCATACCATTCCTCTCATACTGATTACAACACTTTCTATTACCTCATAAATACTACACTCTCTTGCTCTTAAATACCTAACTTATTAGCTTTTTTTGTTTGTTTGTTTTTTTTTTCTTTTTCTTACATTACCTCGAACATTATTAATTCTTATTACTGACTAGGTTATTTATGACAATAATATGTATAACCAGCGATGACAGTGTAACAATAATCATAATAATATTCCTAAACTTTCAATTAGTTTAGAAGTGATCTTAGACGACCGACATGAAATCGCGATGACTGTCGGCGATGAGAGAATGAATCGAACGTAGTCGTTTGGGAAAAAAGGATCGTCGGTGCATAATTTAATAATAATAATAATAATAATAATAAATAATTAATGCTAATAACATGTATAATATATAATATATAATATATAATAATAATAATAATAATAATAATAATAATAATAATAATAATAATAATAATAATAATAATAATAATAATAATAATAATAATACTAACTCGTTTGATGAATAGTTAGTAAATGAAAGTAATGCGCAATGGTAATGAATGTAAAAAAATAAAAAGAGAGACGTTTCATTTGAGTGTTATCACGGAAATTTAAATTCAAGGAAAACAAAAAAAAAAAAAAGAAAGAACGAAAGAAGAAACGAAAAAGAAAAAAAATAACATCAGAACCGAAATCGTCGATTTTACGAAAGAAAAGGAAAACGGAAAAGAGAAATAATAATAAAAGAAAAGGGTTTAAGCTTGTCGTATTCTCTGAAGAATCGGGGGGTGTGCTTTTTGGATAATGGCAATATGGGAGTTCTCCTCTTCTTTTTAGGCTGTTGACAAAATAGAAATGGAAAGCGGTCGTTTAGTTGACAGGCGTCATTAGATTTCTCGAGATATACGCAAGGCTCAACATAAACGAGAAGAGAGTTCTGTAATAGATATACACGCTTAGATATTTGCAAACGAGCAAACTTTAAACTTCTAATATAACGAGAGAGGAATTAAAAGCACAGATAAGAGGAAGAAGAAGAAAAAGAAAAGGGAAAAAAGAAGAAGTAGAAGAAGAAAAAAACGAAAAGAAGAAGAAGAAAGAAAGAAAGCAAACAAGAGAGAGAGAGAGAGAGAGAGAGAGAGAGAGAGAGAGAGAGAGAGAAATTTTAAAGAAGGTCGGAAAGCTGCCATTGCTGAGAGCTGCCGTTGGTCAAGAGGGTTCTTCGTAATGGGATTCATTACAAACAAAAACTACGTTACGACATTAAACGTGAGAGAATCATAAAAAAAACGACATATATATATTTATATATATATATATATATATATATATATATATATAGGTCAAGTTCGAAGCTTCTCACGATGGTATTGCTTCTTTGATATACTCACGAGGAAAGTATTCTTGGACCGTGTCGAGGAATCGGACCGATTCGATCTTTATCGATCGATTCTTTCCTTAAATGAAACAATTTATCTCTCTCGAAATATATTTAAAAATTTTCTTTACAAAAAAAAAAAAAAAAGAAAAAAAAAATCGATATAACGCCAAAGAGAACACCCTTCTAAGGAAAGAATCGATCTAATCGTATGTCTGTTACTCGAAATTTCGTTGGTGGTCGTAACGAATCTAATCCTATTCCTTTTTTATTATTATTATTATTTTTATTTTGTTCTTTTTTTTTTTTTTTTTTTTTTTTCATTCGTCAAAAGACAATTTTAATGATCTAATATTCGTTAAATATTATTATTATCACAGACAAATAATTCAGATGTTAGAAAAACGTCCTTAAACTTTACGTTACGTAAATGTTATCAATTTAATAAAATTGTTAGCGACGACCAACGATCACTGACCTTTCGATGGTTGCATTCCCAGCTTTTTCATGCCTTCTCGAACCTCCTCAAGGTCCGTGTCCGAGACCCTCATACTATCGGAAACGAATTCGTGACCTGGTGAATCGGCCAA